GCCTCAATGTGCATCTATTCAGCTATAAATGTCTCTATTTTCTCATTCTTTATGGCTGAGTAGTACTTCATTTCATAAAAAAGCCACATTTTCTTTATCGAGTTGGAGATAGGATCTTAATCTGAACTTTTTCTTAGATCCAGGTTAAAAAAAAAAGAACTACATATTTGAGGGATTTGAAAATCCAATTTCCATTTTAACTATATTGCTTTTTGTTCTTTCTTGGGTTCATTTTTGAAAAATTTTGTATAATAACTTATGATATACAAGAGACATAAAAGGCTAATTCATGAATCCAAAATGCTGCTTAAAAAATAAAACATTATCCATATAGGTGCATCCCTTTCTGTACTTTTTATTGGTCATATCCTTAGGGGAATTCACTGGTCTGAATTTTGATGTTTATCAATCTCATTCTTATTATTCTTTAAATCTATAGAATATTATATTTTTATGTGACCTTAGACAAACTACTTATGTTACTAAGGAGAAGCCTAAATAAGACCTCTGATTCTACTTGCTTTCAGTTTATTTCAAAAAGCACTAATTTTGGAGGTCATGTACCTGAGCAATATATTAGTAATTTCCCTCACTGGTTTTGCAGTAGATGGCATCACTTGAAGCCGTTTAACAGGTTGAAACTGTTCTTCTGTGAAAGTTGCAATTCACTATCTTGTCTGGTGATAGTTGCCTTTCACTGTCTTCCTTTGTTTTCTGATGGAAGATACCTTTTGTATCCTAATGATTCCCTGCAAGGTCAACTATTCCTGAGAAAAGGACCTGAAAGATGTGGGCACAATAACTTTTGTTTAGATTTACAGAACCCAGATTTACAGAACCTGGTGACCTATAAGTAACAGCACCACATGGGTCAGAAAGCAGATCACTTGATTTTTTCCCCCCAATACTGGGGATTGAACTCAGGACTTGGCGCTTGTCAGGCAGGCATGGCACCATTGAGCTACATCCCTGGCCCACTAAAGCAGATCACTTGAAATCTGTGACTACTCTGGCGCCTGCCTGTCTGAGGTGCCTCCCCAAACACCCTATATGTAAAAGCCTTGCACCTACAGCCCCTAACCAAGATGCTCTTTGTTGACAATAACCTCTATCTTCTTCTGTTTGCTACATTTCCAAATCTTTTTCTCTGCCCAAACAACTTGTCCTTGAGTCACTACCCTTTTCAAGCAACAAACACGAGTACGGTAACAATATACTCATTAAAGCTTTCACTGTGAAAAATTCTAACAATGCAATAAAATACAATTTTATGTAAAGATTCAAGGTCTCTGTACTACATCTCAGGTGAGATACTGAAGGTCTATGCAAATTTATCACAGTCTGCTTTTTGGGAACACCACAAAAATAAGACTGCAAACAAAGGCATTGAACATAAACAAACACTTGGAATCTATAACCTAAGTTTGTTGAGGTCAATCAGATAGATTCTGGCATCAGTGCCTGGCACACAGTAGACAGTAAGTATCTGTTCAGTGAAAGAATGAGTTTTCAGGATAACGCTAATAAAGTATAGTTGATTCTTACAAGGAGATTCACAAGCCAACATACATGGCAAAAATTCAGCATAGTAAACAATGACTATTGAAAATTATTTAGGAATTATCTATTTAATATAGCCAGTGCAGCCAGCTCTTCTTCCTGCAAGGTCCCAGGTGGCTGTCACTTTTGGCGAGGACCAGAGGATGGGGCTGGCTTGTGTAGTTAAGGACATGTCACGCAGTAAGTGCTTACCTCTTTCCAGCTTCCTCTGTGCAGATCCCCAGCACAGAAGGACTCTGCATACTAGGTGAGTGCTCTGGCAACTAAGTCACAACCCCCACCCTGTCACACGCTTGTCTTTAAAGGACAGGATTACACAGGGGCAGTAGCAAAGGATTCACACTGGGGGAAGGACAAAAGAGCTAAGGCCAACTGAGAGATGATGGTCAAACCTCCATCTTAGCATGGAATAGGCCCAAAGTTATCTGCTTGTTTAAATGGTTATTCTTTTCCTGTGCAGGTATAGCTGACTATTCCTAATGTGTGTGCAATGTCCTGGCAATGTATCCAAACATTTTCTTCATCTGCGTTTTGGGATTTATGAAGGGAAATGTACTCAACTGTAGGTCCTCTAGGATTGTCAAAAGGAGTGATTCTGGAACTTATATGACATGTAGTAATTTGTAAGTACAGATTATGTAGAAATAAGAGGTAAAAGTAAAGAGGCTCAAAGTGACCTCTATATCCTTCCTTTATTTTGCAAGCAAGTAAAAATATCACAAGCCAGGGATTCTGAAGGAAGCTGCTTTCAGTGGACTAAGAATGTTGTCAATCTCTTATTTCATTTTTTTTTTTTTT